GTCTCCTTGTGGAATTTACCATAAGTCAGGAGACTTGCATGTGGGCTGTTATCATTGTTAGTCCACCTGGGACTAACAATGGGCGCCCACCTGGGTGGTGTTTCCTGTAGTCCTTGAAAGTGGCCAAGGGAGATAATCTGATTCCAGAGAAAGCCTTTCCTGAGGCTGTTCTCCAAATACCTGGAATGTGTATGTCCAGAGAGTGATCAGTTTACACTGTTAGTCCTTCTTAGGGGAAAGTCAATTGGAAAAACTATGAAGGCACACATGATTTTCATAACAGAATACAGCTGATATATAACAAGCCAAGTAACACCAAAAACTCCTTGGAATTTGGCTTCCTCTGAAGGAATTCCCTGATTCCTCCAGGTAGTGACTTTGCCATAACCAGCTGAGTTCTTATGATATTCCTGCGGCCCGCAGCAATGAGATCTGAGGGATTAATAGAAATGGGTTAATTTGCTATAAGAGCTAATTATCTCAATTTTCTCAAGGTTCCCCCAAAGATACTAGCGTACCAGACAACAGGAAGTAGTCTAGAAAACAACACCCACATTCCCAAAATATTGATTTGGTATGTTTGTTATCATTTAAAGGGGGTTGGTGACAAATTGTTATTGGTCATAGTAAAAAACAAAAACAAAAAACAAATGAGTTAAATTCAAAGATCTCTTTCTAAAAAAAAAGGATATAATCAAAAATTATGAGATAAAAGGGTAGATTATTGAATCTACTTTAATCCAAAAATCAATGATTAACAATTAATTTCAAAGCATTTTATATTGATATGGATTTTGGTTTATTGATACAAATTTAAAGTTATTTTTACTATATTATATGTCTGTTTCTACTCCTTTTGTGGGGTATGGTGCTTATGCAACTCATTTTAAATGTAATGTATAATTAAGAAATAGATTATTAGTCATCTATGATAGTCAAACATATTCATGTTAGGTATGTTTTCAAGGTCATACACAGATATATTTAGATAGATATATGGTCTTCAAACATGTTAAAGACCTACAGAATATAGCATTTAATGTGTTTACTAACCTAAGGTTTTTCATTGTAAGCAGAAGTTTCTGCCCCACTAGCAACTCCCAAATACCCAGCAGCTACTTCCCAAATAATTGACTCAGAGGCTTAATATTACTTATAAATGCTCAGCTGGTAGCTCAGGCTTACTATTAACTAGCTCTTACACTTAAATTAACCCATAATTCTTATCTATGTTTAGCCACGTGGCTTGGTAACTTTTCTCAGTACAACAGTCTCATCTTGCTTCCTCTGCATCTGGCTGGTGACTCCTGACTCTGCCCTTCTCCTTCCCAGCATTCTCAGTTTGGCTTTCTCACATAACTTCCTGCCCAGCTACTGGTCTGTCAGCTTTTTATTAAAGCAATTTGAGTGACAAATCTTTACGGTGTAAAAGAGGATTATTCCACAGCATTCCCCCTTTTGTCTAATGAAAAAAATGAAGGTTTTAACATAGTAGGATTATATACAACAAAAAGTTATTAAGTAAGAGTAGAGAGCGGGACGTCCGTCTTCGGGTCGTAGCGATCGAGGTGTCGGTCACCCGGGAGCGAAATAAAAAATGGGTGATGTTGAGAAAGGCAAGAAGATTTTTGTTCAGAAGTGTGCCCAGTGCCACACTGTGGAAAAGGGAGGCAAGCATAAGACTGGACCAAACCTCCATGGTCTGTTTGGGAGGAAGACTGGTCAGGCCGCTGGATTCTCGTACACAGATGCCAACAAGAACAAAGGCATCACCTGGGGAGAGGATACCCTGATGGAGTATTTGGAGAATCCCAAAAAGTACATCCCTGGAACAAAAATGATCTTCGCTGGAATTAAGAAGAAGGGAGAAAGGGCAGACCTAATAGCTTATCTTAAAAAGGCTACTAATGAGTAATTCCACTGCCTTATTTATTACAAAACAAATGTCTCATGGCTTCTAATGTGTACCATAATTTAATTCATACATCAAAATTCAGATCATGAATGGCCAACAATGTTTTTGTTGGGACGGTCCTGATTTAAGTAAAAATGACTTATAGTAAAGTGGATATGATCTTTTTTTAAAATAACAATTCCAGTCACTATCACGGCTCTCCCTTTCTCAAGATCGGATTGGACTTACTAAAGTTATACTTTCCACAAAGATGGGGTGTCACCTCAAACCTATTGAATGGTTTTATATTTAAATTTATATAATGGGGAATATGGATATGTTTAAACACTGGGAAAATTCTGTCACTCTCAGAAACAAGAAGACTCACCTGTGTTTCAGTTTGTATTCACTGGCCTGTTACAGGCAATGGAACACCAGGAAGCAACTGTCTATTCTTGACTTGATGATGTCATTTTAATTAGAATTCCCTGTCAAAGGATGCTACCTTTCACCATTGAAAGGCACTTACTGTGACCTATGTATAATATCAAATAAAGAGTATTTAGCACTTCTTTAAAAAAAAAAAAAAAAAGTTATTAAGTAAGAATTATAGCAACACTATCCAATCCATTTGCACTTGGCAAAATTAAAGAAAATACTCTATTACCTATCTTATCTTGGTGAGTCTAAAGTTTCTTATCTAATTGACTTTCTATTATAACTAAAGAAAATTATAACTATTTAGTCTTCAACTCCATCGAAGACCCCAGAAGAGTGAAATGTTACCTAATGACAGGGAACTCAGGCTGCCTGAACAGTCACCCAAAGTTGACTTGCAATGTTGGGGCATCCAACTCTGGCCTACAGGCCTAGCATGTCTGACATATTTTCCTGTGGCGCAGAGAATTCTGAAGGATTTTCCCTTGTCTTTGCAAAGTTTTGCAGTCACCTTTCTTATGTCCTGCTGGTCCAGATTGGACAGTAACTGTCAGCAATTGAGGCAAGGGCAGTTTCTTTGCCCACATGGCTAGCTTTTGCCATAAAGAAAACAAACTCCATATGGAGTTTTTTCAGTGTCCATCATCTCTGAAGTAGATTGGTGCTGCCAGGAGCAGATGTGTCTCACTGTCAAGAAAAGTCTAAGCTCCTAAAACATTTTAAATGCCATATTCTGTAGGTCTTTGAAGTGTTTGAAGATTGCCTATCTGAAATATCTCTCTTTATGATCTTAAAAACATACCTGACTATTTTGCTATTATAGATGACTATTAATCTGTATTTCTTAATCATGTTACATTTTTAAATGAGCTGCATAAACATAATATACAAAGTAAGAGTAGAAATATGCATGCAGTAAAGCAAAATTAACTTTAAATTTATATCAATAAACCAAAATCCATACTAATGTAAAATATGTAAGATTAATAGTATTTTTAAAATAGATTCAATAATCTACCCTTTTATCCTATTATTTCTGTATCCCCCCTTTTCTTTTTAGAATGAGATCCCTGAATCTAACTCCTTTGTTCAGCTTTTTTCCTATTAGCCATAACAACTTGTAACCAACCCCACTAAACAATGACAAATATTCATAATTTAGTTTTGGGGATGTGGGCATAGTTCTCCAGACTACTTCCTGTTGATTGGGGGTGCTGGTAATCTTTGAGGGACCTTGAGAAAATTTAGGATTATGGTCACGTCCTGACTGGAGTATTCTGTATGGCTGCATCATCTCAGCCAGAAACCTTGAAGCTGTTCTGGATGCAGAACTCAGGGGAAACTGCAAGAGAGGTGTATTGAAATGCTGGATCATCTGGGCCATCCATTTTTATTGGTGTCTAGTCCCCTTGTTCTGAAACACATATGTGTATTAATATAAATATAAACTGTGTTTTGTACACAAACCAGCCAAAGATAATTTTTTATTTTATGTTTGAGCAGGTGAAATATGTCATGTGTCTTATAGTTACTTTAAGTTTATTTTCTCATGTCTATCTTTTAAGCTCTTTCAGGCTTTATGTGGATGTATGAGCATCATGTTGGAGCACCATATGTAAGTGAAAATTTCGGTCCTGCCAGAAACTCTCCAATACCCATCAGCCACTTCCTAAATAACTGACTCAGAGGCTTAATATTACTTATAAATGCTTAGCTGGTAGTTCAGGCTTACTACTAACTAGCTCTTACACTTAAATTAACCCATAATTCTCATCTGTGTTTAGCCACGTGGCTCGGTAACTTTTCTCAGTACAGCAATCTCATCTTGCTTCCTCTGCATCTGGCTGATGACTCCTGCCTCCGCCCTTCTCCTTCCCATCATTTTCAGTTTGGCTTTCCCAAATAACTTCCTGCCCAGCTACTGGTCTGTCAGCTTTTTATTAAAGCAATTTTAGTGACAAATCTTTACAGTGCAAAAGAAGATTATTCCACAACATTTCATAACAGTCTGCTCCTGACAGCACCCATTTACTTAAAAGAAGATGATAGGCATCAAAGAACCTCCATATGGAGGTTGCTTTCTTTATGGCAAAAGGTAGCCATTTGGGCAAAGAAAGTGCCCTTGCCTCAATTGCCGACAGCATACTGGCCAAACTGGACCAGAAGGAGGCAAAAAAAAAAAAAAAGTGACTGCCAAACTTTGCCAAGACAAGGTAGGACAGTTCTTCAAAATTCCCAGCTTCTCAAAAATATTTGTCAGATATACTAGGCCTGTAGGCCAAAGTTGAATACCCCAATGTTACAGAAGAACCTACAGTTACTGTCCAGGCACCCAGATGTCCCTGTTGTTAGGTAACATTTCACCTTTCTGGGGTCTTTGATGGAGTTGAAGACTAATCATAGTTATAGTTTTCCTTAGTTATGAAAGAAGGTAAATTGGGTAGAGAGCTTTGGACTCATCCGGATATAATAAATAATACAGTGTTTTCTCTAAATTTGCCAAATACAAATGAACTGAATATAGACACTCAAAAAAGCTTTGTTGAGATACGCTGAACTTTGCTCCTGCTCTGATGCTGTTACTGGCGCTTGGCTCCAGAGGCTGCTAACCCCATCTAGCATTGTGCATAGTTCCTCTCCTTCTCTTCAAAACCAACCCAAACGCAACTGGACCTTTTCTTTAAAATTGAGAGTATTTCCAACAAATGATGTCTTCTGTTTTTCTACTGCTTTTAACTGGGGAAAGAACTATGTAAAAGATAACATGATTTACAATTTTAAAACGGGCCTTCAATGTTGTATACTGTTGATTTGCATCATACGAATCAATGTTACAAAGAATGTGAGCCAGCCTTCTGTTACTGATACAAGAAGGTCTAAGAAAATCAACTGAAATGAGGGGGAAACGTATTACCCCTTTTGAAGGCATGCCTCAGGTGGCCTACTTCCTCTCACTAGGTATCACCTCCTACAGCTTCCACCTTCCAGTGTCAACTAGGAATAGGGGGTTAAACATTTGAAGAGGGTAGAACATCATGATCAAATCACCCATGAACACTTGTTTTAGGGTTCAAGCTCTCAACACATGAGTCTTTGGGGAAACATCAACCAAGACAGAAAACAAAGCATCTTCAATCAAGCTTATTGGTATAAAGAGGACTAAATATAAAATAACACATAAATGCTATTAGAATCGATTCTATAAGTCCATGCTTCCTGCACCGATTGACTTACTTTAGAAAAAACAGGCAATTGAAGACAAGCTTTAAATTTTCAGAACTAATTTTGACAACCAGACTTGTCAGCACTGTAATATTTGCTTTCATCCTTTTATTAAAGAAGTATTACAGATCAATGTAACAACTCCCATGAAACCTTCTACATCCTCAAAGGCAGTTAATATCATAAATGGACCCATGAGTAACATCCAATACTGTTCTTTGAACTGGTTTATTAAGTTATAAATATTATACCATGTTTTTATTGTGTATTTTGCTTTTCCCTCTCAAAATATTGTGACCTATCCATGTAACTACATGTGAATTTTGTATATTTTACAGTATAGTATCCTATCATAGAAATAAACATATTGATCTATGTTGATGGACATGTTACATACAATTTAGAGCAAAACAAACCATGATTCCAGGAACATACTGATAGATATCTGCTTGCACACATACAAGGGTGCTTCTGAGTTTAATACATTAAAATAGACTATTCCATGTTTATGGGTTCTTTTTAAATACTCTTATTCTAAAGCAACATATTCTACTTTATTTCCATCATAGTTTTAGAATTTTACCTTTTCTACTTGGGTTATTTTTTATGTGTGTGTGGACATGTGTGCCATGGTGTGCCATCAGAGGTCAGAGGACAACTGTGGGAGTCAGTGACCTCTCCTTCCACCATGTGGATTCTGAGGATCACAGTCAGGTATCAGGCTTGGCAGCAAGCACCCTACCAGCTGAACCATCTCATCAGCCTGATGGATTTCATATATGTATGGTTGAGAATTAACGTGTTTGGGTCATATGAATTTCACACATATTGAATAGGCTAGACACTTACTCCAATGATTTCAGTAGCATTAACCATACACAAATTGGCCAAGTCTTGAATTTCTATGTTAATCCTCAATTTGTTTCCAATAGTTTCTTTATTCGCTCAAAAGAATTTAAATGAGAAAAAAACTTTAAATAATGTAATGATATCTAGTAGTGATCACCTTCCCTAGTTTTGTCAAAAAAAAAATTTGTTCCCATTTGTGGTCCTTTGCCTTGCTGTATTACTCTGAAATCAGTTCATGAATTTCCTTACAACTGATGTATAAATTTTGAGTGGAAGTATAGCAAAGGTAGAAAATTGGAAGAGTACTTGTATTTTTTTTATAATTTTCTAACTTTATTTTTCAAGTGTTCTTTTGTAAACATTAGCAAGTTTTGTAACTTTGTAGACATGTCACCTAATTATCTTAGATTTTCTTATTTATGCATTATCATACATAACCTACTTTTTCATAGTCTCATACTGCCTATAAAAGGTTACTTTTCTGCTTTTTCCAATCTTCTTATCTTGCTTCATGCATTGGCAAGGAGCTCAAGTATGCTGATACTCAGCAGATATTGTCTGTCAGATTTGAATGAGAATACTGATTAGCTATCAACTGGTTTGTTCACAGTTTCTCAGTTTTCTCATATGATTGATCATCTCACTGAGAATTCTCTAATAAATGCATGGGTTCTTCACAAGGCTTTCCTATATTCATAGTTTTCTGCTCTAGAACGGATCATGTAGTATGTGCTATGAGGTGGTTATTTCATTGGTAGGCAGCCTCCACATTCACAATGTTCACGGAGTTTCTAGTTAGTGTGGATTCTCTGGTGTCTAACAAGGTGTGACTTTTGGCTGAAAGCTTTGCCACACTCAATACAATTATAGGGCTTTTCTCCTGTGTGTTTCCTCATATGAAGAGTAAGAGATGAGATCTGAGAGAAGGCTTTTCCACATTTGCTGCAGTCGAAGGGTTTCTCACCCGTGTGACCTCGTATGTGTATAGTAAGGGACGAGCTCTGGGAAAAGGCTTTTCCACATTTATTACATTCATAGGGCTTCTCACCAGTGTGGCCTCTCATATGCACAATAAGGGAAGTTCTTTGAGAGAAAGCTTTCCCACATTCATTGCATACATAAGGCTTCTCACCTGTATGACTTCTCATATGTAAATTAAGTAGTGAGCACTGAGAGAAGGCTTTCCCACATTTATCACACTCATAAGGCTTTTCTCCTGTGTGACTTCTCAAATGAAGAGTAAGGGATGCAATCTGAGAAAAGGCTTTACCACATTTATTACAATCATAAGGTTTCTCTCCAGTATGAACTTTCTGGTGTGTAATAAAGTTTTGTTTCTGGCTGAAGGCTTTACCACACTCATTACACTCATAGGGTTTCTCTCCAGAATGAATTTTTTCATGAGCAATGAGATTTGATTTCTGGCTAAAAGCTTTGCCACATTCCTTACATATATAAGGTTTTTCTCCTGTATGAATTCTCTGGTGCCTAACAAGATTTGACATCTGAATGAAAGCTTTCCCACATTCATTGCATCCATAAGGTTTCTCTCTAGTGTGAATTTTCTGATGTGTAATGAAGTTTTTCTTATGGCTGAAGGATTTTCTACATTCCTTACATTCATAGGGTTTTTCACCTGTGTGACTTCTAATATGTACAGTTAGTGCTGAGCTTTGAGAGAAGGCTTTTCCACACTCATTGCATTCATAGGGTTTCTCACCTGTATGGATTCTTACGTGTATAATAAGCATGGAAAACTGTGAAAAGGCTTTTCCACATTTATCACATTTATAAGGTTTTTCTCCTGTATGACTTCTCATATGAAGAGCAAGGGAAGCAATTCGAGGGAAGGCTTTACCACATTCATTACATGCATAAGGCTTCTCCCCAGTGTGAACTTTTTGATGTGCAATGAGGCTTTGTTTCTGGCTGAAGGATTTTCCACATTCATTACATTCATAAGGTTTCTCACCAGTATGAATTTTTTCATGATCAATCAGATTAGATTTCTGGCTGAAGGACTTCCCACATTCCATACATGCATACGGTTTCTCTCCAGTATGAATTCTTTGATGTCTAATGAGATTTGACATTTTAATGAAAGTTTTCCCACATTCATTACACTCATAACACTGTTCCCTACTATGAAGTTTATGATGATTAATAAGTTTTTCCTTGAGGCTAAATCCTTTTCCACATTGGTGGCATTCATAGAGTTTTCCACCTGTATGAATTCTCAGGTGCCTAATAAGGTCCAAGGTTTGACTGAAGCCTTTTCCACAATGGTTACATTTAAAGGGGGTCACTACAAAATAGGGCGAGCTATTATTAAATGATTTCGTAGCATCATCATATTCAAAATGTTCTTCTGTCATTGGGCTTTTAACATCATTATGATCATCAAGATTATCTTCTGAAGACTTTCCAAACCACTCATGTTCATAGAGATTGTGTCTGGAAGGAATGGAATCTGCATTTGGAGGAAATGTATTTGCAAATTTCTTAGAACATTCATTGGCTTCACCAGTCACTGTTTCCTTGAAATCTTGTCTCAAGAGTTTGTTCTGGGTTTTCTGATGCTCATCAATTGCCCAAATTTCTCCTAAAATAGATAGCAAATAATTATCACTGGTGATTTCTTTTCAAATATTGAAATACCAAGTATACTTGAAAAAAATTCCAATTAAATCTCAAATGCATATCTCCTATTTTAACTTAATCTTAAGACCATTTTATGTATATGGGTGTTTTGCCTGCATGCATTTAGGTGCACCATGTGCATACTTGGTGCCTGTTGAAGCCTAAAGAGGGCATCAGATCTCATGGAATTGGAGTTACAGGCAGTTGTGAGCTGCCATGTGGGTACTGGGAATCCAACCTGGGTCGTCCAGAGGACCAGCCAGTGCTCTTAACTGCTGAGCCATCTCTCCAGCCCCATATATATCTCTTATCTCCACGGTTTTTAGAAGGAAATTACAAGTAAGGAAGTGTGGGTAGAAGCAGATATCTAGACATTCAATCATCTTTGTTTTATGTGAAAGAAAGTAATATTAATTTTAATAACTTTCACATATACACAAATAACTATTTAGGAAATATAATAAAAAAGAAAACTACTTATAAAGGAATTTGAAAAAATTTAAGGAAAAATTAGTAAGAAATACCCAAAGGTTGCATGAAAACTCAAAATGAACACACAATAGCAAAGCATTGTAGACTATGCCTCCTAAGTTCAGCCCTTGGAAGGTGGAGGCAGAAGGATCAATAATTCAAGGCTAGTCTCAGCTACATAACAAGTTCAAGACTTGCTTTTGCTATATGAGACTTTATCTCAATACAACAATAACAATATGAGTCCAACTGTGTGCTGCCAAAAAGATATAATACAGTCCCAACTGCCAGTACCTCAGAATATAGTTATCCTCTGTCCTCCACATGCAAGTCTTCACACAGTTATCCTCTGTCCTTCACATGCTCCAGCACACACTCAAAAACAACTCAGACACACACACACACACACACACACACACACACACACACACACACACACAAATTAATAGTATTGAAAAATAACACCTTGAGCTGATGAAATGGCTCAACAGATAAAGGCATTTGCCACTAAGCCTAGTGACCCAAGTTCAAGGGTACAACTTGTCCTTTAACCTCCACATGTGCACCATAGCTCATGTGTACCACAGCACATGTGCATCCACACACATGTGCACACATGCACAAATAAAAATGTAATTAAAAATTTTTAAAGGGAAATGACATCTTAGTTTTTAAGTGTTCACACTGTTACTACACAAGTCTACATGCGTTAGAGAAATACCTTGGGAAACATCTCAGTCAGATTACCCATTTATTGTTCCTCTCTCCTCACCTGTCTGATTCTCTCCCACTAACCTGGACAGTGTCTCTTTAGCACTTCTTTCTCCACTACACATGGCTCTTCCTCTTGTTCCAACTTGAAAATCACATCAGGTTTGGTGACTGGAGAGCCTGTCAGAGGGAAAGGATATTGATTCGGGTATACACACTAGTAACAAAAGACAATTCAGGAATTGAGATAGGCCTGTGGAAGCCAGGTATTCTGACTTCTGGGAATGTTGTACCCTGAAATATGACCAAAGATTTTGCTTTGACACTGAAGCACGGACAGGAGCACTAACAAAGGCATCTCAAGACAAAACTCACCAACATTGAAACGTTCCATCTATTTTAGAAAAAGGACATTATCTTACCCACTGTGATTAAGTTGTTATAATTTTCTAAC